AGATTTGTAAGTGAGATAGACAGTCTCTAAATTTGATTGATAAAACAATTACAAGTAAGCCGCCATTCACTGACCAGTCACTTAATTTTACAACCAAAATTTGGAGTTCAATTGTAGTTGCAAGTCAAAGGGTTATCTATATAGCTTTAATTTTTCAAATTGCATTGTTCCACATAATCTGTAGCACACAAAGTTAGTTCAGAAAGGAATGCCTGCTGAAAGATACTAGATTGTTTAATTGTCTGCTATTGTATAAAAGATGAAAATGCTTTCAAAGAAATGTAAAATGGTTAGGAGATGTGGAGGGGAAATCATTTGGCAATTTAAAAAAAAATGAACTTCATGTTTTGCGAACAGTAATTTGCACCCAGCACTGACACCTTCAGATGTGTTTGAGCAGCCACAAACAATAGGAATCAAGAAGATTGAATTTAACATTTCTTCAGAGACGCCTACTATTCTTCAGAAAAGCGTGGAAAAGGAGCACAATGATGGTACAAAATAAGTGTTTGCTTACCAACAACTTACAATTTAGATTTTCTGTGGTGTGCACTAGTGTGTGAGGATTGAGTCAAATTGCTAATCTCTGTGATCTTTCTCTGAGGAATCAGCTTAGGCAAGCTACTTTCTTAACTTCTAGTAGAACAAATAATGCCAATAGGGATTGTTAAAGTTCTGCAAGATACTGATTTAAGCATTCTAATATATGATGTAAGCATTAAACATAGAGTCCTTGTTTACTGACAATTCAGCGATCATTCAAATTTACATTGGCACGAAATAAGGAGTCTTATGAACTCCTCTTAAAGTTGCAGCCATTGCCGCATCCCTGCAGTCATGGGATTGCAATTCGGGCGCTTGGCACCTGGTGTGCATTTGCGACCGTTACAATATCCTGTTGTCATTCACCATTTGTGACCTTCATAGTTGGCTCCCAACAAGCAAAATCAGTGGGGAAACTGACAAGAGGTCTCAAGTTATGGTCACAAGACATCACGCTTAATTGTGAATGATTTGGTTAACCACCACAGCTAGAACCTGATGAGATGCCATCATAAGTTGGATGTGATCACACGATTGTTCACTTCATGATTGTATCACTTAGAATTGCCAATCCCAATTGTGGGCAATAATAAATTGTGACTACCTGTATTTATGTGGAGTTGATACAAATGATCTGAATTGTTTAGTTCTTACCATAGTATTTTCAGACATTATATCTGCTGTGAATTTCTATTTCTAGCAATTACTATTTCTGCTGCTGATGGCATCTATCCAGAATATTTTTAAGCTTTTTGAATTCAGTGAGATTAAGGATGCTGAAATTTACCTTACGCTGCTGTTGTTGTTAAATTGTTCATTCAATTTAAACACCATTTAAACTTTTTGCATCTTTCTTTCTTTTAAATAGACTCTTCCTCGGAAGCTGATGATATAACTAATGAAGGATTTGGAAAAATTTTCCCGGCTCTCAGTTCTAATCATAAAGAGGACACAGAAGATGAAGAGGATGAAATTCCTTCAGAATTTGTTTCTAAAAGAGTGTTAGAAAAAGGCAGAATCTCAAAAAAAGGTGACTTTATTATTTTTTAAGCATTTTGTAGCATACAGTGGAAATACTGAATTGGATTATATCCCCATGTTATACTGGTGTTAACTTTTTAATTTTAATCTGTCACTATAGTCTTATCATCAGTTTTAAATATTTAATCAAGCAAGTTACCCCACAATGCAAACTGCAAACAATATTCTGAATTTTGTGTATGTTCCAGAAATGGAAACACTTTCTGTCTTCAAAAATTACGACCCCGGAGATCCAAACTGCAGAATTTATGTGAAGAATTTATCTAAACAAGTTCAAGAAAAGGTAACTGGAAGCAAAGCAGAATATTTTGGCTCTTTCATTATGGTTACTAACTTTTTTTTTGTTATGTTTTTATTTCAATCCCAGGATTTGAAATTTATTTTTGGAAAATACATTGACTTTTCATCAGAAACTGAACGAATAATGTAAGTGCCTGGATAAGTCAAATAATAATATTATTANTAACATTTTACACAAGAATCAGCCCCTTACTCCTTCTCCTCCTCCAAAATGTTAATATCTATCTAAGAAGATATTAGGAAAAAAAATCATTTTTTTCTGTATAGATATAAAAAGTTAACTATATATTCAATTTTTAGATTTACAAAATTGGTGGAACTAGCAACACTTCAGCCAAAACGACCGATGCCAACAAAGCAGCGTCACACAAGGAAAAAAAGAAAGATAAAGGACTTATTAAATGCTTCCCTAGTTGCTCCACCCAGGTATGACACAAACGTTAATGCACAATATTGCCAATTAACAATAAACCTCATTGTACACTTGTGGATGTCTTGAATGAAAGACTAATTGCTTGTTGACCTACAAATAGCACATTAAGCCAATTTTGCCAGCTTGTATGATAGATCATGTTTGGGGAACATACTGTGCCTTATATTTCTATATAGAAAATAGCATATTTTCTCCTAGGATATGTACATTAAATGCTTAAGAAAGCTGTTTTGTTGAATGTCTGTGTAGCCATGTTATTCTGTAGCCAATAATTGGCCTGAAAGTCTAAGGCAAACTGTCTGTATGTGGCTCATGAAATCAAAATTCATCATCATATACAGTATATGTGATGTGGATCATAAGGAATATATATTATTTTCAATTTCCTGGGTTTTGATTCAGTGGGAATTGAAAATACCAGCTTAAGCTGGTTTTGGAAAAAAAATATTCAATATGGATTTTTTAAAATAATAGCAATAATTTATAGCATGCATAAAGTCCATGTTTAACATGAGGCTGTAGCTTACATTTTTTTGTAGAAAATATTTGAAGTTTAATTTAGCATACAGTGGCTTCTGTTGGGACAGAAATACCTTAACTAGAATTATTCATGAAAAACGATGGGTTGAGATTTGACTTCTCTCCCAGTATTAAACTTCTGTCTCTGGGGCTTGTAGGTGCACAGGGGAACTACAACTGAGTTAAATTAGATTGCTACTCCACCTGCTTGTCTCTGGATTATTTTCTAACTCCAAGCATTATAGGTATAGACTATTTCTTCAGCTTCTTGACTCGCTGAGTTGAACAAATATTCAATCAGAAAAAGTTTTTCTACAGGGATACACATAGCTGGCAATTCTATCTCTGCTGAAGAGCAGGTTTTAGAATACCTGATTATAATAGTGAGAGCCTGTCCGACTTTTGTCTCAGGAGTTAATAAAATTGTTCTAATGCTTGAATAGTTTTTTTCCACAAGCATGTATTAGTAAATTACCCTGAATATTCAAAAGAGTGATCAAAACCATAGAAAAAAATATATTTTCCTTAATAAAGAAGTGCCTATAGAGATTCTCAGTCATCCAAGTCGTGGTGCTGTGTTCTGGCTGAACAGGCAAAGCTCGATGAAACATTTTCAAGGAAAAAAACCAAGAAAGTTCAATTGCCTTTTGAATGGCACATTTGGGTTCATAAAAAAGTAAAGTTGCCTCAATGTTATGCCCAGTGAATAAAAATTGAAGATTTGTAAGTGAGAATCTCTATAAGCACTTCTTTATTAAGGAAAATATATTTTTTTCTATGGTTTTGATCCCTCTTTTGAATATTCAGGGTAATTTACTAATA